CTCCAGTAATACTTCTGCTTTCTGTCTCTAAACAGGGAGTGGTATTTTTCCTTTTTTAACATTTGGCTAAAATGCATTTTTTAAAATTAAATTTTCCCTGTTCACATTTACTTCACTCTGATTACGTCTTCATTTTTTATGTCTTCAGTGTTTGTAGAGGGCTCCTCCAACAAACATATTTATGGTTTAATGGCTTAGATTCCATTTTTTCTTTTAGTTCAACCACCCTCAAACATTTAAGGACCATCTGCTGAAATCATCCGCAGCAGTGTTTTTTTTAAAATTAATTTATTTGAACAGATCTATTTATTTATGCTTGAAGAAGCAGTCAGACATCTATTACACAGACTCCAAGATTCTTGCTCTTCCCAAACCAAATACCCTTCTAATGAGCAATAGAAGCAGCAAGGAGAAAATTCTAAGCTGCCTAAAGTTTGAACTGAAAAGATAAAAACTTCCAAAAGTGATTGAAGCTAATACCTAGGGCAAGACGGAAATCTTAAATTCCCTAAACTAAGGAAAACCTCTCCCTCTCTTCTAACTCATCTCCTGTCTTTTTTATTTCTCCTAATACTAAAGAGCAGTGCCACCTTGCTCCTTAAAAGGCTTATGAAGAGCCAGAAAGAAATCAACTTGCCCATGGTGCTTCTGGGGTGGATTAACCCATTACATTGCAGCACAAAATATCCAGGAATGTGTTTAATATGATCAGTTCCCTGAAAAATAATAAATACAATTGGAGCCAGGCATGGTGGCTCACGCCTGTAATCCCAGCTCTTTGGGAAGCAAAGGCGAGAGAGTTGCCTAAGCCCAGGGGTTTGAGGCCAGCCTGGGCAAATTGGCAAGACCTCATCTCTAAAATAAATAAATAAATAAATAAATAAATAAATAAATAAATAAATGAATAAATGAATAAATAAGTAAATAAGCCAGGTGTGGTGGCACACTCCTGTATTCCAGCTACTTGGAAGGTTGAGGCAGAAGGATCTCCTGAGCCCAGCAGGTTGAGGCTGTGGTAGCCATGAGCATGCCACTGCACTCCAGCCTGGGCAACAAAGTGAGACTCCAACTCAAAAAACAAAAACAAAAAAACTGTAAGAGCTACACTGCATTTATTGGTACTCTTTGTTCTGCATGCTGCTTTGTAAATACTCTTCTTTCTTACTAGATACTGTGCTTTCCCTAGCTAGACTAAAAGCTTCTAGAGGTCACCAACCACATATTTTGTTGTTGTTCAAATTGCCCACCATACTGAGTACATAGTGTATGCTCAAGAAATATTGTTGTCCATCTGATTACTAAATATTTAACTATTTTTCAGGAATGCTTATTATTCATAAAACCATGGAGTCTTGGAAGCCAAGAGGAAGTATTCATTTGTTGGTATACATTTTCCCTTGGCTATGCATTATACAGAGGTTTCCTTTGGAATGTAAACAAAGGATGCCTGATGAGCCAGGACAAAGAACTATATATAGAGATCAAGTGGCCAGAGTAGCAAGGCCAAAGCATACCCTTCCTTAACCAGATTAAAGAGAGTCCTGGGGCTTCCTCTACCTCCTTTCCATGCTCTTCATCCCCGACAGAAATCATTTCCAACTGTCTGTCTCCTGAATTCTGAAACCTCCGCAGCAACTATAACAAGCTACATTACCATAGAATTCAGCTAACAAATCTATGGTGATCTTAATCTCTGTTTCTGTAATAATAGGAAGACTGTAGCTTTGTTTACTTTCTGAGGAGAATAGAGAACAGGGAGAAAGGACCAGGATAGGGAGGCAGTATTTATGGCCCTTTTATGAAAAGTCAATCTGTGACAAAAACATTTGCAGACAATAAGGAAGAGGAACAGGTTTAACAGGAAAATAGCCTATTCCAGTTTTCTCAGAAGTGCCTTAACCGGCATCCTCCACCCCCGCCCAATGTAAAATGCCTTGTTTATACTATGAATATAGTCATTCCCTATAGACAAATCTGGATTAGATAAAATGAAAAAATTCCAAATCACCCTTCTGTGTCTTGCTCTCATGACCGACGGTATCCTACAATTTATTTCATTTTATAAAGTATTTATAAGCATTCATGAAGTCTCAAGTCCCTTCATTAACTGCATTTCTAATCCCAAGGCTTGTCCTGAAGGCTTTTGGAGACATAAACTCTGTGTTGAATGAGTATAATAAGCAGCCTGGATTCACCCTATTATTAAGAGGAAGTTAAAGGCACATCTCTAACTTTTCAGAATAGATGATGTCATAGAGGACAGCCTTACTCTTCCATAAACTATCCTGTAGGGTCCTTGTCAAAGACAAGATCCTAAACTGAATACAGTTAAATCCCCAAACACAATCCCACTCTTTTTTTTTTTTTTGAGTCAGAGTTTCACTGTCGCCCAGGCTGGAGTGCAGTGGCAGGCTCACAGCCACAACAGCCTTGACCTGCTGGGCTCAGGTGATCCTTTCACCTCAGCCTTCCAAGTAGCTGGAACCACAGACGCATGCCACCACACCCAGCTAACAATCTCACTCTTATCAGTATCTCACTATTCTTTCCCTGTTCTCAGTTAACATATTTACTCCATTATCTGTATTTCTTGCATATGTATCCACATCAGGGTGGATTTTTGTAGTATGTTAGCACTCAGAGAGTAGCTACTGTGTCTATGCTGTTTTCTTTGTACCTAGTACAATGCCAGGCATAAAGAGGTATTAGTAGAGGTGACCTTCTATGTAGCCAGAGCAGTGACCTCCATGATGGAAATTAACAAGTACCCCTATGGGTGTTTCTTGATTATCTACTTTGTTGGTTTGTCATGGAGCTACTCTTCCCTCTTACTTTTCTTACATGTGGCAGTGCTAGTGTCAGCTCCTTAAAACTCAGGCAGGAATACTAACTTCAGAAAGGCACTGTTAAAACACTGACTGTCACTGAAAAGGCCAAAGTGAGTCCTCCCCTATTAACACAATAATGAATTGTTTTATGAGACAAGCTCTTTGCCACTTGAAAAGAGTGGGGCCCTGAAAATAAAGATTTGATAGGCAGGATAGGCTGGGAAAGGTTGGAACAGGACTATGTCTGGGTAAGGTTGGCCAGAGTGATAAGCTCATCAGGGTAGAGAGATGAAATGTTAGAGAAGTCCTAAAGTGAATGAGCAATGAAAATTAACTGCTTACTTTGCCGTTTTGACTATAACTTACTCTGTACTTAATAGTCTTTTTTATAAGAATGAGGAAGGCGATGATTATAATTTCTAACTACACACTTATTCACTATTAACTGGTACTCTACCTTCAATCATGCAAATTCTAAACCAAAGGAACTCTTATCTTGTCTCCTCCTTACAATGCTCCCTTGTCTCTTCACCAGTGTGGATTTCTTATACTGTAATCTAACAGCATAATCAGAAGCTTTGATAGAGAGAAGAATAGAACAATCCTGATTGGCTGAAAACCACTCTGAAATACTTTCTATTTTGTTTTTCCCCTCTTAGAAAGGAAGAGACAGAAGGGGAAAAAAAGGAACAGGATAAAGAAAGTAACCATTCACAGTATTGTGACCTATGAAATCTGGAAATAAGTCAAAGGTCATGTAGTAAGATCAATTTCTTATGTTATAGGTAAGGAAACTGAAGCTGAGAGGCTATATAACTTATTCATATTCAAACTACCAGTTAACAAAAGAGCCAAATCTAGAACACATTTTCCAATTCACATTCCAGTGAGTGGGAATGAGAGTTTCTTTTCATTCCTTATGCTTCTTCCCAAGTCCCCTACCTCATTCTACATTTTCACATCAGTGTTTAACAAGTACCCTATGTACCCTACATATAGCACCCCTATCTTCCACAAATGGGGTTCCAGAAGGAATTAAATTTCTATGGTATGCTCATCATACAAGTATACCGTACTTGAAGAAACCCAATATTTTAAGAAATCCAAATGATTGAAGGGTGGGGGATTACTCATATAATAAGAGGATTCTTTGTCTTACAAGAAGATTCTCCAAAGTGTCTCAAATAGGGATACCCAGCTAGGATTAAGATATGAGAACTTAATAAAACTATTTTATTGTTTAAAATGAAATAAACTTTAGCTGTTACATTTATCTGTCATACAAGTAAGATTAGAACTAGACTAACAGGCTTTAAATATAATTAGAAACATTTTTATCCAATCACTGCCCACGAGGAATCCTATAATATTTTATCTGATCCTGGTTACACTTACAGCCCTACCATCATCTCTTCAACAAAATTAACAGAAAACCAAATTGTATAGCTGAAATTCCATGCTCTTAAGAAAGAAAGAGAAATAATAGTTTTCTTTTATTATGTTAACATAAGAAGATGTCAACTCCTCTTCTAAGCTCTGCTCTAAGATTTTGTGTGGATAACAATTGTTTCAAACCTCACACTTGTATGGCACTTTAAAATTCACAACTTTAAGATGCATGTTATTTGTTGATGACAAGAATAAGTAGAAAGAGGACCAGGTAGGGTGTATTGTATAGCTAGGACCACAGGCAGGGGATGAAGAGAGAAGAGGCTAGAAAGAGAAGCAGTCCTGATGATATTGTTACAGAGACAGCATTGCACTGAATGTACCTTACCCTGCCCCCCAAGGACCCAGGATTCTCAACTTTCCTATGACACCCGAGTAATCTCCTTAAGGAGTGATCATTTCCAATTTGATTAAGGAAGAAACATACTTCTTGTCTGATTCTCACACTGTCTGCTGTTTGGAAAGGAGAAGTGGTTGCTCCTTGGACTATTGTCCTCCTCCCCAGTCCCTCACCATCACCTATTGATTTTTTTTTAAAAAATGCATAGATATCTTTCACTTTTTTGGAACAAGCCAGCATCCTAAAGGAATGAGTCTTTCTAAAACTATCATTTCAGTCTTTCATTCCAAATTACCGAGCTACACTCTGACAAACTGAAGTGTCCTCAAAAGATCACCTGATCCATGCTCTCTGAAAGAATCACAAATGTTTCTGTTACATACCTCAACCTGCTGGCAGATCTGTATTAGTTTGGCCATTTGATTTTCTAGTTCACTGTTGCGCTTAACCAGGTTGGTGAGGTTCATCTCCAGAGTTTGCTGTCATCGCGGAGGGTGTGAAGCCAGAAGGAAACAGGGAAGAGGGTAAAAAAGAACAATGAGCTTGAGAACCAATGTCATGTGATGATCAGTCAGTCAGTAGACAAATATTTCAAAGATTCATTGAGCACTTGCTTTGGGTCAAGCACTCTTCTAAATGCTGATTAATAATGCTGTACACTTGTTCATTATTGGGGGGAAATGACATTCATGACTGTGGACGTAGAAATGCATTGACAATGAACCGACCTTATGTTTAAGATAATATTTTTAACTTTTAAAAGTAGTTCATAGGCAATATTTCATTTTGCCCTAACTGCAACCCTATGGCATATGAAGAACACATAGATGAATACATATAAAACAATAAATGTTTCTTGACTTATGATGAGATTACATCCTAATAAACCCAAAAGTGTGCTTTTAGCTTAAGAAATTTTCACTTACCATGAGTTTATCTGGATGTTACCCCTCATAAGTGGAGGAGTATACTGAATGTATATCACTTTTGCACTATCGTGAAGTTGAAAAATCTCTAACTATTAAATGATTGCTAGACACTATGCCAGACGATTTTATGCATGCCATTTGACAATCATAACAGCCCAGTGCAAGTAGAAGATGCCGGTATTTTACTGATGAAAGAACCAAGCTTCATAGTGGAGTTAAAATATTTTGCATAGTTATATCACTAGTATATGGCAAAGCTAGGACTGGAGTTCAGGACTCTAGCCCTCAGTCACAGTTTTGCCCCAGTATTTCATGATATTTTGGTTTTGTTGTTGATAATATTTTATATTTATCAGTAGTATCCTTCAGATCCTACTGATAAATATAAAAGAGATGCAGGACTTCAAAATGCAAAGCCCGATTTTATCAAGAGATGACACTCATTGCCGACCATCATTTCCTGGTACATTGATTCTTTTAGGTTCACATTAGGAATACTCAGCAGATCTGCTGAATATAATGTAGTTACAATAGTACTCGAAACTCTAGCATATTTTCAGTTAAACAAGCTACTCTTTCTCATTCCTTATATGAAGCACAGAATACCATTTTACTCGATTGATCTTGGGCTTTTTTACTCCTCCCCATTCCTAAGTCTTCAACTATGGTAGCTGCTTTTCCTTTATGACCTGCCCCAATATTTACTCCTCTCTCACCCACCATCCTAATACCCCGTAAAGTATATTCTAAATGTAATACCCCAACTGCTTGGCCCTTATTCTGCTAGCATTCCTTCCCTCCGTCATGTTCATTGCTTCATTTGCTGTCTCCGTGGTTCCTGTGGTTTGCAGTCAAAAGGTTTTGAAAAAGTGAATGACGGGGACATGAGGGAGAAGAGAATGTAGAGGAAGAGAGGGGACTTATATATTTGGCCCCTTTCCTGTCTACTAAGTAGCTATGGCTCCTTAATTTCCTTGATACCGTTCCCATGAATATATGGATATATTGACGTAGATATATGTACGTCTAGGGCAGGTAGTATGATTTCACTTGCTCTCAAAGTGGATTATGAGAACCAGCTTAACTCCTGTTTCCTTTCTTGCCATGCCTCTTTTGGTTTATTTGGCGTTATTCTCATGAAAATGTTTTCACCATTTATTCCATTTTTCTTGACTTAAGGCACAATGTCTTTCTTGGCTTTTTTTTTTTTTTTTTGAGTTGGAGTCTCACTCTGTAATCCAGACTGGAGTACAGTGGCTGCTCCCGGTCACCGCAGCCTTGACCTGCTGGGCTCCGGCGATCCTTCCGCCTCAGCCTTCCAAGTAGCTGGAACTACAGGCGTGCGCTACCACGCCCGGCTAATTTTTTTGATTTATTGTACAGATGAGGGAGGCCTCGCCAAGTTGGCCAGGCGGGTCTCGAACCCGCGAGCTCAGGCAATCCACTCACTTCAGCCTCCCAAAGCGCGGGATTACAGGCTGAGCCACCGAGCCCAGCTTCTTGACCATTTAAAATCCCACTATAATCTCAATCTATGGTCTTCTTAGCAAGGACAAGGGAAAGGAAGAAAGGAAAAGGGAGGACATTAATTTGGACATGATCTCTAAGCTAAAATGATGTCAGGGGGAAATGACAGTTCCATCAGGGGGAAATGACAGTTCCAAGATTTAATACAAAAATGTATGGAGCACTTAGTCTGTTTAAAGCACAGTAACTTCACAGATAAAGAGGAAGTACAATTAAGATGGGTCTTGAAGGATAAATAGAATTTTAATAGACAGATGGAGGATGCAAGGCATTCCAGGGACAAGAAAAGGCACGAGCAAAGGTAAAAAGGAATAAAGTATGCAGCCTGTTCATGGAGCAGTAGTTTAGTTTGGCTAGAACAGAGGGTACAAAGAGAATAGTGGGGGACAAGGCTAGAAATGGAGATTGAAACTCTGTTGTGAATATCTTGACTGCCTAGGTAAGGACTTTGTACCTATTTTTCTTTTTTTAGCATTGGGGGCTTACCAAAGGCTCTTGAGCAAGGTAATGGAATACTCAGAGGTGCATTTAGGAGATTAACCTAAATGTGGGGCAGACTGAAACAGGAAAGCCTGAGGAGCAGGGACACTGGTTAAGAGGAGGCTGCAATATTCAAGGAAGTTGGTAGGGCAAACCTGGGCCAAGCTAAGAGGATAATTGAAATAAATGTGTTTCAAGGAAAGATTTGTCACTGTCGAATATGCAGAGAGTGCAAGAAATATGTGGAATGATAAAAGGCAGCTGGATTTGGTAATTAGAGGTCACAGATGACCTTTGAAAAAGGAGTTTCGGTAGGGTTTTGGAAGTAGATGCCAAATCCCAAGGTTAAAGAGCACAATATAGTGACAAAGTGGAGGCCACAAGTCTAGACTCTTCTTCAAAAGTTTAGTCATGGCCCAGGCATGATGGTTCATGCCTGTAATCCCAGCACTTTGGGAGGCCAAAGTGGGAGCATTGCTTGAACCCAGGAGTTCCAGACCAGCCTACGCAACATAGTGAGACCTTATCTCTATGAAAAAATTTTTAAAAATTAGCTGGACGTGGTAGTGAGTGCCTGTAGTCCCTGCTACTCAGGATGCTTAGGCAGAAAGTTTGCCTGAGCCCAGGAGGTCGAGGCTGTGGTGAGCCATGATCGTATCACTGCACTCCAGCCTGTGTGACAGAGTGAGATCCCAACTCAAAACATTTTTTTTAAAGTTTGGTCATGGCTGGGCTCGGTGGCTCAGCCTGTAATACCTGCACTTTGGGAGGCCGAGGAGAGTGGATTGCCTGAGCCCGCGGGTCTGAGACCAGCCCTTGGTCAAACTTGGGCAATTTGGTGAGACCTCATCTCTACAATAAATCAAATATTAGCTGGGCATGGCAGCACACACCTGTAGTTCTGGCTATACCTTGAAGGCTGAGGCGAAAAGATCACCGAAGCCCAGCATGTCGACTCTGGGGTGGCCGTGAGACTCCAACTCAAAAAAAGAAAACAGTTTGGCCATAAGGTGACTATGATTATGATAAAGTTATAGTTTGATGAAAGGGTCTAGCTTAAGCTAGAGGATGAGAGTTGGTAACTGACCCAATCAGTTGATGATTTACTCTAGCTGAGTGGTCCCAATTCCTAGATCAAGGGAAATTCCATGCATCACAGATGAATATATTGATATATTAGGTAAACATAATGTAGAATGATGAACCCAGAACATATACAATATTAGAAATCTGTGTCTCCAACTGTAATGCATTTCCATTCAAGCATGGGGTTCCAACGGGAGAATATTTTTAACAAATACGTGGGACCTGTTGCAACACTGGTCATGAAACTGAAATCTCATAAATAATTCACAGTGCAGAGTCTGGCTAAAATCCCTGCTCTGTATTCCTCTTTTGTGGCTCAGAATTGAGATTCACGGCTTTAATAAAGCCACTGAAAACAAAAATTAGGGCTGAATACATAATTTGGGATCTGGTTAGACTATGGGCCTTGGGTTACTATCACAAAATTATGGCAAATGGTTAGTTTGCTGCGGCCCCCTAGCAATTTGCAGAATGCCAGCACATTTTAATAACATAGAACTAGAACTGACAAGATGACTCTAATTTCAACCTTACTTCATTAATATGAAAATGCTTTGAAAAATAAATCTTTGGCTAATGAAAACACCATCTGTTGATGGCTTTTTGCCACTGTTTTCTTACATTATAAGACATAATTTGAGGAAAACACCAAACATTTAGTTACTCATTTCCTATTCATTTACAAGAAATTAAAGCCTCATCTCAAATTGGAATTGATTCTCAATGATGAACATATGCAAAGGGAAACAGAGAACTGAAGCAATTATGCAGTCTAAGGAAGTCACCCCTTTCTTATCATGCCTAGAACTCATTTAGAACTAAAAATTCTGGGCCACTCTAGGCTTGAATGATTTGATGATTTGGCCAAGTAATTATCTTGTCTATATTCTGGCTGAGTAAACAAAAAGGATGTGTGTGTGTGTGTGGGTGGGTGTGTGTGTGTGTGTGTGAGCACGCGCGCACATGCTCATGCTCACGCGTGCAAAAATATCTCTCTGTAAAAGTAAACATGTCTGTTAATTGTTGTTGCTCGGTTTTGAAAAATTGATTTGTTTTGCTCTTCTCTTGTGCAGCGTAGTTAATTACTGGGCCAGGTTCCCTCTGTCCAAGCCCAGCTAGTATAACTTTCTCAGAACGGTTGAACCATGACAGCAAGAGAGCCAAAGTGGCAGGGGAGATTGGAATGGAGATATCTGCTAGGAGGAAACAGGACAGGAGGTTGGCAGGGGGAGCAGGATGAAGCTCCCATTTCCTGCTGCAGGAGGTTACCTCTGGGTCCTTCTGTGCTTCCCTTTCGTGATGGTTAGAAAAGTCATTGTAGCTTATAAAACTGTGAGAACTTTTTCACCTCCAGATGACTATATCATGCTAGCTCTCACAAAACTGTACATGAGTCTAAACAGCACAAAGTAAGGAGAAGATTTAGCTGGCTTGCATAACAGATTTTTAAAGGCCTG